AACAACAACAACAACAAATTCATGTAACCATGAGTCACAGTACCGGAGACATGGCCTGGTACAAAACAGTACTTTAAAACTGCTAAAATCACATTTGTAGTAGCCAATCACTTATAATCACTTTTCTATTTCCTGAAGTTCTGCAACAACAACAACATAGAGAGAGAGAGCGCAGTTGGCCTAGCGGACAGAAAGCCATGCTCCCAAGTCAAAGGTGGGTGACTGTACTCCGTGGCCCTCAGGCCTGCCTTTACTTGTTTTTGATGAAACATTCTTCTAGGCGTGTAACCCTGGTCTGTCCACTTGCTGTACAGAGGTAACTCATGGTTGCTGTGAAGCCTAACACTGTAACACTGATGAGTCAAATGTGAGAATGGTTATCCATTATGGACAGTGTTTGGTGGAGCTCCCTGACTAAAACAAGCTTGGAAGCAGGAGTGGCACCCACTTCCATAATAGCTTGCCTCTGGAAACCCTATGAATCTGGAGAAAGGACAAGAGTTATACAGGTGTCCAGGACTTTCATTCATAGTGTCACTGTGAGTCACCTGTGACTCGATGGCCCTTAACAACAACAACAACAACAACAACAACAACAACAACTGCATCTAGAAACTATGCTTCTCTGTGTGGGACCCAGAGCTGGGGAGTCACACACTAGTGGGAGGAGGATATGAATAGGTATATAGAAATATCTAGAAATCTTCATATTCTCTGACTTGGTTTGCTTCCTGTCATTATCTTATCTGGAATCTTACAACTTTAGTAATTTATATGTATGTTTCAATTAGGGTCACTGCACTCAGTTTAGGGTGATGACTCTGAAATGGTAGCAGGTTTAAATCTTGAATTTAACTCCTATGTTTACATATTTTAAATCTAGAGCAGGGGACTTCCTTGAAGATTCCTCCCTCAGCCTCCAAAGTCTGGGGGCTTATGCAGTAATTGAAGTTTCTAGTGGTTCTTTGCAGAAAACTTGCAGAAATCAAACAAAGGTCTCTTGTAAGAAAGGCCTCAAGCAAGAAGAATTACATCCTTGAAGGTGATACTTTCTCTTTGTTGTTAGATGTTATCAAGTTAAGTACGTCTTAGCGACACTATGAACAAATTTGAACCCTGTCCTATCATGTGCTGTCCTTATCATCTCTGACACACTTGAGTCCATTGCTGCTGTTACTGTGTCAATCCACCTGACTGAGGGTCTTCCTCTCTTTCTCCACTCTTCAACCTTCCCAAGCATGATATCCCTCTCCAAGGAATAGCCACTACTCGCAATATGCCCATATTATGTGAGACAAAGTTTTATCATCTTTGCCTGCAAGGAGCACACTGGATGCACCTTCTCCAAGAAATATCTGTTTATTCTATTGAAAAGCCATGATGTCAGTTTGAGCACTAAGGTGCATCTGATTTATGCCATGGTCTTTGCAATAACTTGCTATGCTGATGAGAGTTGGACAATGAATAAGGATGACAGAAGAATTGATTCCTTTGCAATGTGATGTTGGAGAAGAGTACTGAATATCCCATACACTACCAAAAAAAAAATTTCTCTATCACTTCAAATCATAACTAACAATTTGGAAAAAAGGAGTAGTATATTAAGAGAAAGATAAGAACAACCTCCTTGGAGTTCTGAGACTCCAGATGCCAATACATATTATGAAGAAAATACCAGAAAACATACCACTCATTTCCTTAGGACAGGTTCTTGAGAGTTGCATCAGAAAAGCTGGTGATTGAGGTGCCTTTGGACTAAACCTAAGGTGCAAAAAAGAAAGAAAATAAAAACTCAACCAGCAGAGTCTATACAGGCATACATCACTTTACTGTGCTTTGCTTTATTGAACCTTGTGGATATTGCATTTTTTTACAAATGGAAGGCTTGTGGCAACCATATGTTGCACTTTTCTTCCTGCCCACCCCTCTCCCCCAATTCACTTTTCTTTTTGAAAAATAAAAGAGAAAACTCTTTGTTACTCAGTCCCTCCCCCCAATCCAACTCCTCTATGCTACCTTCCTTCTGGACTCCTGTCATAACAATAATGTCTATTCATATATCCCCTAAATAGTTCTCTCCCTCATCTGTTTCAATGCAGTAAACAATTTCACTGTTGGTGGGAGTGTAAAATGGTGCAACCACAAAGGAAGGCTATATGGCATTTTCTCAAAAAGTTGCAAACAGAAATACCATTTGACACAGCAATTCCACTACTGGGAACATACCATAAAGAAACTATAACTGCCACCCAAACAGATACACATATATTTATGTTTATTTAGGCTTTGCTCACAATAGCAAAGAGTTGGGAACAACCCAAGTGCCCATCAACAAACAAATGGATAGAGAAGGTCTGGTATATTCACACAATGGAATACTATGCTACACTGAAAAACAAGGAACTCATGAAATATTATACAAAATGGATAACCCTAAAGGACATTATGTTAAGTGAAATATCTCAGTCACAAAAGGACAAATACAGCATAATGCTACTGTTATAAAAGAGGACTGGCATAGGACCGAGAAAGATGGGATAAATAATGTCTGTATCAAGTTTTAAACACTGTGCTTTGAATTAACATCTCTGGAATTGAACAGCAAAACTTATCATGAAAACATTTCAAACTTAACAAAAATTATACTGGGCACCATTTTTCATATTCTCCCTAATGAAAATCCATATTCGCTTTTATTTGAGGCTAAATTTAAGCTATGTCTTTAAAATTATTTAAGAGACTCTTTCAGAAATTGGGCGTCAGGACTCTAATCACTTCTAAGATAAAGAAAATCTTGCAAAGAATAAACAATTAAAAGTAAAGAGTAAGGAAGATAACTAAAGAAATAAAGGACTTGAATCATCAGGTACTGAAAAGGATTATTAAGATACAATACTTAACACTTAAAAGGATAAAGAAAGCCATAGAAAGCTCAACAGACACTCATGTCTTTACTCATGACAAAAGCAGCACTTATAACATAACAAAAGCAGCATTTAAAACAGAGAAGAGAGTGATTGCTCCAATAACCATATGGAAAGGAAGAAACATAAACTCCTACTTCTTGTACCTTTACCAAAATAATGTTTACCCAGAGCTTATCAGTTATGTGTATGGGAAGAGATTTCAAAACACAAGGTCAAATAAACCATGGAAGTATGACTCATTTGTGTTCATGTATGTCTCCCTCACAACAGTGTGTTGTTAGGGGTCGTCAAGTAAATCCCGCCTCACAGAGATCCTGCGTATGTATGACAAAACTGAACTGCCGGATCCTCTGCCATCCCCTTCATCACTGCTATGTTTGAGCCCATTGTTGGAGCCACAGTGCAGCCACTGTGTCGTTCATCACTAGACACTAAATGTTTTATTGATATGCATTCCCAGTTCCTAGGGCAGTGCTTGGTACATGCAAGGGAGAATGACTGTGAAAAGAATAAATAGTACCAAAAAAAAAATAGTATGAATGAATCAATGACAATTACCTTGCTCAGAAGCCAGCATAAGACTGTTGTTGTTGAGTACCACTGAGCAGGAGCCTACCTGTAACCGACTCCCCAGCAGATTTTCAGAAGCAGTAAACTGCACAGGAGGAGATTACCCATCTCTCCCATGGAGCTGCTGGTGGCTTTGAACTGCGGGCCTTTAAGTTGGCAGTGCAGCTCCTTACTACTAGGTCACCAGAGCTCCGCAGCATAAGATTAGGGTGAGTGATTATGACACAGTATACACACTCTTAATTTTTATATAGTATGCCATAATCTAAAATTAGATCACTACTTTGAAATGAAGCCCATTTCCCCCCAATATTTTAATGTTAAATAAATTATTAGATTATAGGCCATATGAAATAAAGAGCTTATTTCATAAACTATGTGATACAATTTTAAGAGCACTAAATATGTCTATAATTGCATTTGAGTAACAATCAAAGATGCCAAAAGCATGTCCAACTCCTACCTTTATAGAACTGGTAGGGATACAGCACTCCTTTCCCCTGCACCAGCCCTAAAAATGTAAATTGGAACTTTCCCTTGATTTGAGTCAACATTGAGGGCTCTATTGGAAAGCAGAGGGATATAAACAAAAGATGATACAGAGAAAGACAGTGGAAGGAACTGCTATGGTTCAACCAGCGGTAGGTCTCTAATGGAGAGCAAAGGAAACAGTCCACAGCAGGAGACTGATGTAGCCAAGGGAAGCTGCAGAGATGCATGAAAACAAGACACAATCAAGAGCAAATGAACTTTATAACAATAAAGGATTAAACTCACCTCTTAAAAGTCAAAGGTTGGGACTTGTCACAAAAACAAATCTAAGCATATACTGTTTATCAGAGACATATTCCCACCTCACAAGTATTTAAGTATTTATTTATTCTCTGTCAGATAATGTGCCAGAACATAATGACCAATCATAAGCAAGAGTGCCATGCCACTTTCTCATGAATTACAATGTATAGTTGAGAAAACCAACAGTGGTAGGGAGATACTAAGACAGTCTCCAATGGATCTTATCTCCTGATACTCAAGGCCAGGTACAATTCATTATCTTTGATTCATGTGTCTCTTTCCAATAGCACATTAAACGGTGGAGGTGATTACAACTCATGAGATTACAAAAAGGCTCAAATTTCCATCTTGCTACAATAATGTTTTCCTCACTTGCTATAAAACACATACTGAAGTGTGCAAGAGACCAATCAAGGAAGCAACTAAGGGCAGCCATCAGCCAACAGTAGTTGTACCAACAATCCTGTGAGTGGGCTTGGAAGCAGAGCCTTCTTAAACTAAGCATCCAGCTAAGGCCCCAGCCAAGGATGACACTTTGATTCCAGGCTCATGAGAAAACTTGAAGCAAAGAACCCAATTTGATTCCTAACCCATATGACATTTAATAGGTGTTGTTTCAAACTACTAAATTTATTGTAATCTGTTATACAGCAATAGATCGTTAATACACCGACAATTCTAAATATAAGGCCGAAGTCTATCAAGAGCAGTAATGGTGTAAAGGTATAATAAAAGCATACGGCAAATCAAACTAGGAGATGGAGAAAGGAGGAAGTAGAGGAGAAAGCTATCAGCATTTATTACAAAACTGGTGGCCTAATGGTAAGAAACAACTGCACTGCAATCCCAAATGCATGTGGCTCTAATCCACAGGCTGCTCTGTGGGAGAAGAATGGGAAATCTCCTCCCATGTGATTAAATATGCCTCTGAAAGCCTGCTGGAGGGTCAGCTATCGGTCAGTTCTGCCTTGAAGGCACACAACAATAATATGATTAGTCTGGCCCAGCCAAAGGATAATGAGATAATCAATAACTTAAAGGGAGCTCAGAAACAGAAAAAAAAATTTAGTATTGGTAAAGACAGTATTTCAAAACAGACAAGACTAGATGAGAGATCCTCCTCACAAATGTATAGCAAAATTAATTGTGGGTAAATTTAGGATTTAAATGTTAACAAATGAAATCCAAAAATGGTTACAGAAGACCTATTACATAGTATTAGGATGGAAACACTTTGCTAAGCAAACTATCCAAAGGCAGAAGCAATGAAAATAGAGATTGGTAGATGCGCCTATGTAAAATTTTAACTTCTTGTTTTCCTAAATAACTAAAATTGCAAAAATACTATTCACATATTACAGACAAAAATGTTATAGTCCTTAAATTAGAAACCACTTATATAAGTTAGGAATAGAAAAACAACAGAAAAATTATGCAAAGGACAAAGATACAGAATTCACTAAAGACTTACAAAGGGTTAGTAAGTATATGATAAAATAATTTCCTTAAGAAATAAATGAAAATTAAAGCACATGTACATTTTATCACCTTTCAGAGTAGAGAATTTAAAAAGAGAAGCCCAAAGTCATCAGGGATCGAAGGAAGACTAGCTCCCATTCCCTTTGTGAATACAGACTGAGGTAACTTGTTTAGGACACATATCACTAACAAGAGCCTTAATGTGTATACACTTCTGCCCAGAAATTCTGCTCCTACCAATTCAGTCTAAGGAAACAGGCATTTATGTATTCAAGAATTTTTCTATAAATACACTTATTATAAACTATTAAATTATCTATTACATAGGTAACTTCTATGCAATAACAAGAGACTGAACAGTGACTACCCTGACATTAAAAATTATAATATAGAAACATATTTAATAATAGAGAAATGTTCACAAATTATAAAACAGTAATGTACAACTAAATTTGCATTTTAACAAATTTCTACGCACATGAATAAAAAAATACAAAGCTTTAAAATTATGTCTGGATTAGAAATTATTTTTTTTCTCTTTGTGTACTTTACAAATTTCCTACAACATATACATGGCACTTCTGTAATCATAACAAAGCAATAAATGCAATTTTTTGAATGCTTTTACAAAATTTAGTAAGTTAGCTTTAACTATTTAGGGGCTCAGAGATCAAGAATAAATTTACATTTACTTTATCACAATACTTGAAAGGTGACTTTCCAGTCATGGGCCTGTTAACCGTCATCCATCCTACCCAAGCTGTGTAGACACAGTTCTCTCTCCTTGGCCTTTCTAAGCTAATGGGAACTGCAGCCTTCAGAATCACACACATTTAAACTTAAGGTAAAAATACATTAACAATCTTACTTTATAAGAAAATATAATTACCACAAGTTTTAGTATTTGAGAAATATTTCCTTCCCTCATATATGCCAGAGAAACCACAATTCCAGCACATAGCTAAGCTCCTGACAATTCTATTTTACTTGAGAAGACACATGGTAAGCTAAAGTCAAATTTACACTGGATAATACACCTTCTAGAACTTTCCAGTCCATTAAGTGTCAGGCATGTGTTCTTAATAATGGGTTTTTGGGGTCCTCTAACGACCTGAACCTGAATAGTGGTACAAAGATGCGCGCGCGTGTGTGTGTGTATATATATATATATATATA